AGAATGCATATTCGTAAAGTGATGTGTAAATAAATTATTTCCGTTTCAGTGTGTGAAGCGTAATTATAAGTCTTTTGCTACTTCAAAGCAAGTTTATTTTATTTTACTGCCAATGTATTTCATTTTGTTAACATGTTATTAATCTTTATTTTAATTTGAAAAAAAAATGTAATGTAAATTTTGACGTTCCGTCAAAAGGGGGGAGTAAATGTAGATTCCCTGCCGTTTTACTACCTGTATTATGTGCATATTATTGCACGTGTGTTCAGCGTTTGTCGGCATCCGCTTTCAAGTATTGCGCCGTGTATTAAAAACTGCTTTGTCGGTGTTAGCGGCCGACATTCGCATAAGGGATAAACTTAGGTATAAAAATAACAAATTTGTAAGTTTTTAGTCACTTCAATATTATGTCCCAACTTGTGTAGATGCTTTTGTAAATAAAATATAGTTAAACCTGNCGCCGTGTATTAAAAACTGCTTTGTCGGTGTTAGCGGCCGACATTCGCATAAGGGATAAACTTAGGTATAAAAATAACAAATTTGTAAGTTTTTAGTCACTTCAATATTATGTCCCAACTTGTGTAGATGCTTTTGTAAATAAAATATAGTTAAACCTGCAGCACTTTTTTAAACGATAAAAAGGAGCACGCACATCATCATTGTCAAAGTAACGTGTAATTTACTAAAAATTATACATTGAAAATTCAGTTACCATTTCGTCTTTAGGAAAAATATGCATGGGAACATCCCTGTTGGAATTAGAACAGTAGTAATACAGTGTCGCTTCTGGGACTCCGGATGGCCTGTCCATCCAGTTCTGACCATCGTCCAGTTCTTCGACGCCTTTAGAAGGTCATTCTTCAGCTGTTGAAGGTCATTCTTTGGCTAAAGAGGAAGAAGAAGGTCATTCTTCGGCTAGGCATTAGGTAAATAACTTTTTACAAATGAGTATTTTTGGTTTCCTTTAACATATATTACACTAGAATATGATAAATAGCGTTCTAGAATAGATAGGATTTGACTCAAGGCTACATAACCATCGTTGAATTTAATNTTAAACTTACCTCTAATGGATACCTACAGGGGTGGGTGACAACACACTTTTCCGATTTATTTTCAATGGTTCCTTTCTTTCAACGAAATAGCTATTGTGAACAAGGATTATAGAGAGAGAGAGACATAAAAGAAAGAGAAAGAAGGAGAATATGTTTTTTAATAAAACAAACAAATTAACAAGTTACAGATCAGTCATATTTTGTACATTAAAACGAAAACATGGTTGCATTAATAACCATTATAGCTATTGCTATAATTTATAATGGATCTTTATTTATTTCAAGACCATGCGATGCTCTATATGCATTCAACAGTAGTGCTCAATTAATGCCTTGCCCCTGACCAAATAATTGGGGTAGAGTTTCCCCATCGTATGATTTGTACAACTTTTATGCGTTTGAAGACAAACAAGTTTTAGGAAATAACGTTCAGATACGCTACTTTCTAAAAAATGGAACCTATGCAGACACTCAGTGGATTCATCTTGCATCAGAAATTACACCCCAGAAATGTTTACCGGTACCAGTTGATTTCTCGTGGAATATAAATTATTATCTATTGTTAATAATAGCAATTCTTTCTGCTAAAATTGTCACTCTCATTATTTGTAATTTGTATACATTATTCATTAAGTACCGTGGGACAATAGAATTATACGCAAATTCTTAAAAGTAATAACACACACGCACTGTTATGTGCTTATCTATATAGCATATAAAATGTATATTATATAGCACATTGTTTAGAGGTCGGCTTCAAGAAATATGTAATACATAACAAGGTTGAAAATACTAATGATAGTGAATTAGGAACCAGAATGTTCTAGAAGAAAGTAAAAAAAATAAATATATATAAAAAATACTAATATCAATTAGTAATCAGGAATGTTCTAGAAAAAAATAAGTAAAAACAAAGGAGTGTATGTTGAAATTTTAAGTATAAATAGGACAGGCGATGTTTTTTTTTGTTATTACAATAGTTGTACGTAGTAGGTACTGTGTGCGTATGTGTGTTTCTGCACTCTTTTCTTATTGTGCTATTGAACAAGTACTATAATTAGTTTTTTAATTATGTCATCATCATCATCTAATGAAGGTAATGCTTCTTTGGAATTTATCAACAAGGTCGGGTTATGTGAACTAGCGAAACCAATTCTACATGTAAAAGATATGGTTATAGATAAACCATATCCAATTGTATGCTTGTTACGAAAAAAAACTCGTCACGGTGAGGTCATTGTTGCTGAAACTGAAGATAATATCATATATTTACCTAAGCGATTGAATGAAGCTTTCACTGATGATCGATTTGAGGAAATGCACAAATTGAAACTTGCACTGGTATACAAGGGTAGCAAAAACGTTGGAAAATCCAATAACGCCGAACTTGTACAATTCCAGAATATATAGTTCTAGTACACGGAGGTAAGAAATTAATACAAAAAGAATAGTGCATTTCATTTTAATTACTTAGATATTTCCGCCTTAGAATCTAACAACGCTGAGGAAGAAGAGACGGAGGAGAAGGAGGAAGAAGTGAACGCGTACTTTGGTTTTTAAGCTGTTAACAATTATTATTAGTAACCACAATCATCGAAACTGGCTTTGTGTATGTTTCTGAACTTATTGTTTTTTTATTTTTAACTTATTTTATTTTTAATAATTCATTAAAATATGGAAGCTAACATCATTTTAAAAGATTTTATTAGGAAAATTGAAAGAGTAACTGATTTAATTAAAAAAGAAGCGGAATACCGTAAATGGATTAAATTTTTAAACACTAGTATTTTAACGGTTAAAAAACTCCTAAAACAACAAGAAAATTCTAATCCAACTCATAATAGGTTTCAGCTAGAAGCCAATTTATCTTTATTAAAATATTTCAGAAGTAAATTTAGAAATGAACTTCGTAAAAAAATTAAAAAGAAGTCGCGCATTAATAATAGAAATTTAGAGTGGGTGGATTTAGAAAGTTGTTTCAGGAACAGAATAAAGACAGGAAGCATTGTTAATTATAGTATTAAGGAACCAGAAATATTTTTCGAAAAAGCATATAAAAGTTTTTCGATTAAAATTAAGAAAGAATTAAGAAATTCACTTCTAAAAGTAAATGCTATCTTTTATGCCCTATTTATTAAACCGTCAACCGACGAAACAGATATCAAACATTTTTCAACTAAAAATAGCATTATAGACGTGGCAACAAACTTAAAGGAATGGTATAATGTACACATAAAAGATAAAATTTTAAAAATGTTACAAGAGTTTCAAGAACGTCAGAGTGGATGGGCATTGCGTGAAATTTATCAACTTAAAATCAATATAAATTATTACCTACCAATTAATATAGGAAAATCAACATATATAGATTTACCGCCATTCATTAAAAATACAAAAGCTGTTATAAATATTAAAAATAACGATGAATTTTGCTTTTTATGGTCAATTGTTGCTGCGATTCACCCCGCACCCCCTAACAAGAATGTAAATAGACCATCATCATATCCACACTTTAGTACAGTTCTTAAGTATGACAACTTCAATTTCCCCTTTCAACTTGAAGATATCGTCAAATTTGAACAAATGAACAATTTATCGATTAACGTCTTTACTATATTAGATAAAAAAGAAATAGTACCGCTTTGTTTAAGTAAAACTGAATTTACACCACAAATTAATTTACTAATGGTCTCAAGAGTTAATTGTGAAAGTGAAAGTTCTGATGATAATGATGATGAGAAAACAGCAATAGCAGCAGCAGCATTAGACGTCGAATCAGACAGAGTATTTCATTTTGCGTTAATTACTGACCTGTCAAAGTTATTACATAAACAAACGAAGCGACTTCATCACAGAAAATGGTTGTGCCAGCGATGTTTAAATCACTTCAGTTCAAAAGATATTTTGGAAAGACATTCAATCGATTGCAGAAAATTAAATGAGACAAAAATTACTTTACCAAGTGAAAATAATAAATATTTGAAATTTAAAAATTTTAAAAACTACGAACAGGCACCGTTTGCAATTTATGCCGATTTAGAAAGTATACTATTTAAATGTAATGAAAATGTAACTGATAATACAAGCAAAACGCAAAAGGTTCACAAACATGAAGCGTTCAGTATTGCATATTATTTAAAGTGTTCTTACGACGATTCACTTTCCCGATTTAGATTGTATACCGGTGAAGACTGTATTAAATGGTTTATTAAGGAACTTGAGGAAATTGCTTTCGAATTGAAAGACATTTTCTCAAATATTGTTCCTCTGGTGAAACCCTTAACTCGTGAACAACAATATGAATTTATAACGACGACAAATTGTTATGTTTGTTCGAAAAAATTTAAAAATGGTGATTTAAAGATCAAAGATCATTCACACCTGGACGGCAGTTTCCGTGGTGCAGCGCACGTGGGATGTAATTTAAATTACAAAGACAGTCACGTAGTACCTGTAATTTTTCATAACTTGTCCGGCTACGATAGTCATTTTTTAATTAAAGCTCTAAGTGTAGAGTTCAAAGGTAACATTTCTCTATTACCTGTAAACAAGGAAAAATATATTTCTTTTACGAAATATGTACAAAATACCACGATTAACTTCAGATTTCTAGATTCTTTTCGTTTCATGGCTAGTAGTCTCGATAAATTATCATCATTCCTAGATAAAGAACAAAAACTAATAACACGGAAATATTTTCCAAATGACAACGAATTTGAATTGGTACAACGTAAAGGTATTTTTCCATATGAATACATGGACTGTTGGGAAAAATTACATGATACTAAATTACCCCCTAAAGAATGTTTTTTCAGCACGATTAACGACTGTCACGTTTCTCACGAAGACTACGAACATGCTTGTTTAATTTGGGATACATTCAAAATTAATACTTTCAACATTCAAAATTAATACTTTACGCAGAAATATATTAGAAACAGATGTTTTGCTTCTTGCTGACATTTTTGAAAATTTTCGATTGACTTGTTGGAACACGTACAAACTGGATAGTTTACATTATTATACTGCGCCAGGGCTCGCTTTCGATAGTATGCTAAAACTTACGGGGGTTGAATTAGAACTACTAACTGATATTGATATGATAATGTTCCTAGAACGAGGGATACGTGGGGGTGTCTCGCAGGCGTGTAATAGATATGGAAAAGCAAATAATAAGTACATGGGAAGTAGTTTTAATGCAAATGAACCTATATCATATTTAATGTATTTCGACGTAAATAATCTCTACGGTTATGCGATGTCGTTTCCTTTACCAGAAGGGAAATTTGAATGGGTTGATGATGTCTACTCTATTGTAATTAATGACATTCCCGACGATGGTGAGTACGGTTACATATTTGAAATCGACCTAATTTATCCAGTAAAACTACATAAAAAACATCGTGATTTACCATTACTTCCGGAACATTTAATTCCACCAGCTTCCAATTCAAAAATGCATAAATTAATGACCACACTTTACGATAAGAAAAACTACATTATTCATTATAGGAATTTAAAACAGGCGTTAAATTTAGGTATTGAAATTGAAAAGGTTCATCGTGTATTAAAATTTAAACAATCACCTTGGTTAAAAAAATATGTCGATTTGAATACAAGTTTACGACAGGCGAGCAGAAACGATTTTGAAAGAAATTTCTACAAACTTATGAATAACGCTGTATTTGGTAAGACAATGGAAAACGTACGAAAATATAAGGATGTTAAATTGGTAACAAAATGGTCCGGAAGATATGGTGCAAATTATTATATTTCACAACCAAATTTCCATAGTTGTACGATATTTGATGAAAATATGGTACTTATTGAAATGAAAAGGCTAAATGTTACATTTAACAAGCCAATATACATAGGATTCTGCATACTTGACATTTCAAAAACTATACTATACGACTTTCATTATAATTACATTCAAAACAAATTCTGTGAGAGGGCCAAATTACGTTATACTGACACAGACTCGCTAGTATACCAGTTCTTTGTTGACGATATTTATCAACATAAAAAAAATGATATACATAAATTTGATACATCGGACTATCCACCGAATAATATTTATAATATACCTTTAAAAACTAAAAAAGTCTTAGGTCTTGTTAAAGATGAACTTTGTGNTCAACATATAAAACATGATATACATAAATTTGATACATCGGACTATCCACCGAATAATATTTATAATATACCTTTAAAAAATAAAAAAGTCTTAGGTCTTGTTAAAGATGAACTTTGTGGTAAGATATGACCTTCTTCAGCTGAAGAATGACCTCCAAAGGCGCCGAAGAACTGGACGATGGTCAGAACTGGATGGATAGGCCATCTGGAGTCCCAGAAGCGACACTGTATTACTACTTAGAACGACTTTGAACACAACAGTAAAACACCATTGTAGCAATGTTGTACGAAAGAGCTGCTGTAACAAAAATTATTACCATTTATTGCAGTAGAAGAGTACAGACAAAATGAGGAAAAAAGAAAAAACCTAAAGTTAAGTAAATAATAAACTGGTATTTACAATTAATCCCACTAACCCTGTTCTTTCATAAGTGACAAAAATAAAAATTACAATTTCGACCTAAACTTGTAACAATAAAATCCCAGCAGAAATAATTTTATTAGGTATTCCAAATTTAATTTTAATAATAATTAATAACAACGTTTGAGCTCGAGCGATTTATCTACGTGTAAAGTGAAGATAAAACACACGCGTTACAGAACTAGATCGTGACTAAAAGAGAAATTCGATATTATATGTGAACAACAGACTACTGTGACTGAGAGTATACTAAATTTCGATCACAAGAAATGGATAGTTAATTTGTCTAATGTTAAACTTCCACCGAGAGTTGAAAAGTTTCTTAGTTTTGGTCCGAATTTTGGCATTCCATACGACGCCCAGACTATTCCAGTCTAGGATATTGTCTGTGATGTTGAAAGCAAGATTGAAAACATAGAAACCAAACATCATAACAAACTACGTTCTGACATGACTAACACCATAGAAGTGAAAAATATAATCTGCATTACCCTTTCTTGGAAGGTATAAATATATACAATCCAATTCAACTTAGAATTATGAAGTGGCATGAAAAATTCGACGCACTTATAGGAACCAACGATTTGAAACAATTAGGAACAAAAGTTAACTACCAAGTTAATACAATAACTCTAAACGATCTAGAAATACCATTTCACCTGTATAATAAGCCCCGATTTTTTCAACCAATCGAAGTTCAGCCGGAAAATGGTAAAATACATTTACTAGTCGACATTAACCATGGACCAGTATCTTTAGAAGAAATCCCAGAATTAAATATTCCTTCAGCTCTTGTAGAAGTGCAAACGGATTTGCTATCATTCCAAGCACTTCCGAAGAATCATACATATTTGAACACCCTGTAGAAGTTACCCCTATGGATGAACTAGAAGAACTTGATTACACTTTCGAGAAAGAATATATTAACGTCGAAAACCTTTTAAGAATGGATCATCTAAACATAGAAAAAAAGTGTAAATAACTGGAACTGGCAAATAAATATGCGGAAATATTTAATAAAAATGAAGATAAATTAACATTTACTAATCATGTTAAACATTACATCAGAACAAAGGATGATGAACCTGCTTACGTTCGGCCTTTTCGCAATCCTCAACATTTGAAGAAATAAATACAAGAACAAATTCAAAAGCTTTTGGTGGATGGAATCATAAGACCGTCTATTAGCCCCTACAGCTCCCCTGTTTGGATTGTTCCAAAAAAGATGGACGCTAGTGGAGAAAAGAAATACCGACTTGTTATCGACTACCGACGTCTCAATGAGATAACTGTGGAAGATAAATATCCCATGCCGAAACTTGAGGAAATTCTCAACAATTTAGGAAGGTGTACTTACTTTTCAACGCTGGACCTTGCCCAAGGTTTTCACCAAATTGAAGTAGCTAAGGACCCCATCAAAAAGACAGCATTCACAGTGGACAATGGGCACTATGAATATGTGCGGATGCCTTTTGGATTGAAGAATGCACCCGCAACTTTTGAAAGAGTTATGGAAAATGTGCTTCGAAAATATTTAAATAAGTTTTGTTTTGTATATATGGATGACGTTATTATTTTTTCGAAATCCTTACAAGACCATTTACATCATTTAAAACATATTTTTGAAGAATTTAAGAAGTGTAATTTAAAGCTTTAGCTGGACAAATGTGAATTCCTCCGCAAAGAAGTACAATTTCTAGGTCATGTAGTTACACCAAAGGGGATTTTACCTAGTCCTGATAAAATTAAAGCAATTAAAAATTACGCGATACCAACAAATGTCAAGCAATTAAGAGCATTTTTAGGACTTATGGGATATTACCGGAGATTTATCAAAACTTTTGCCAAAATTATTCAACCTATGACAAAATGTTTGAAAAACATTGGGAAAATAGATGTACAGATAAAAATTACCTAAATAGAAGAATACTGGAAAGAACAAATAAGTCAAGAAGAGCAATCAACCGCACAACATACGGCAGAAGAAAACCATACGTTTGCATTCCCGATTGCCGAAAAAAAATTAATTCCTACAAACTTCAAATTATTCTAACAGCCAAAACAACGTACTCTAGCCATCTAAAGCAACTCTTTAAATCAAAAACGCTCGTGAAGGTCACTCTAAATAAATATAACATTCAAAACAACATTCAAGACTTAGTAAAAGAATATTTTCGACCAAATAAAGCTATAGCAATCTATTTCGACAATCCATAAATAGAAAGTGTCTTAATAGATTATTTGAAGCAAGAATAACAATATTCACCCTTCAAAATTATCAAATGTATGAAAAATCTGATTAATATGGAAAATAGGGAAACTTAACTTGAAACAGTACAGAACTACCATAATAGCAATCACAATGGAATTCAGGAAACGGTTAAACATCTCCAAAAATTTTATTACTTGACCAACATAGCTGAAGATGTTACAAACTTTATAAACAGATGCGACGAATATCTTTTAGGAAAATACGAACGGCACCCTCGTCAACCAGTTATGAGAGGCACAGTACAAACAGTCCGCTCCGAAGTGGACACACTGGATACGATCTTCTTTCAAGGTCCATCGGTTTCTGCAGGGTTGCCCGTTCAATCCATAGTTGATGAAGCTGTGATCAAAGAAATAATAATAATAAATAAAATTATCATAATAAACAGTAGCAACTTAATATATACCTCCTCACCAACGTGACCGTTGTCCTGGAAGCCATACATCGAATCGGAACCGTGATTGTACTGCAGGACTGGTTGAAAGCCATTTCATCAAAAACGACGATGAAGTACCGCTCCAGTATGTTGACCGACTGAATCTTCTTCGTAATGAAATTCATAATGCCTTCATTGATTCCGGTGGCAAACGATTCTTGCCGTAGGAATCTCTTTAAAGTCCCCCGAGATGGTTCCGCAAAAAGCTGTCGCAAAAGTTTCTACCCCTTCGGACTTTGTTTTAACCGGGACAAAAACAGTATCTCCTCGTTGTCAGAGTAACGTTTGCCCCCGCGAGCGCAGACCTAGTCCTTTCAACTGAGCCATGACGAACTTGTAAGTGTATTTGTTAGGTACTGTCTTTGAAAATGCCGTGAAATGAGCTATAATATGGCATTTTTTCAATTTTTTTCTATTGGTCATGACAGTCCGTGGCAGTATTGTCCGAACTGTCTGAGCAGTTTTCGTAACTGGCGCGCATTCGGTTTCACAACTAAAAACAGAGAGCGTTTGCGTGACCGACGTACTGCTTTGGAGCCCATTTCTAGAAGGATCATTTATCAATTTGAGTTACAAAGAAGTAAGTAATGAGGGACAACTTACCAGTAAGTGTGGGTGCACATGTGGACGGAGCAGGTGTCGTTTCTATTTCCATGCAAACGAGCACATTTGTGAAAAAATTGAAAATAAGTACAATGGCATTATAGTCATATACCATATACAATAACTTACCGGAACTTTAGGCAACAGAAGTAAATCGGGAGGTTGTTGCTTCTATATCGACGGGAAATGTAGTACCTGTGAAGAAAGTTTCATTGCGTAAATGAGAAGACAACAGTCATATTATTACGGAACTGACCGGTTGCGATTACAGACGCCGTTGTCGGTAGTGGGACGTCTGTGAAAACAAAAAAATTAGAGCAACATATTTGTATGGGAATTTATGCGGAAACACAGCAGTATACGGTGCATGCACTTCTTTGTAAAAACGAAGGCCTGTCATTAACCGCAAGAAAATATTAATTCATTTCAATTCCTAATGAATTCTTAATAACAATCACATCTATGCAGTGATTGGTTTTCTAATGAAATGAAGCATAATGAAACTATGGAGGACAAGTGGAAAAAACGATATTAATTACCTCTCTCTGCAGGACCGTTTGACACCAATAACGTCGGAACACCATCCTGCTTTACGGTCGATTAGTTTCACCGATCATGGTACAAACAGTCCACTCTGAAGTGGATGTGATACCCGATACGATATCCTTACAGGGAGCTTTTGCATGAAATGGGCACGGCCAACCCGTTCAATCAACAGTTGATATAGCTGTGATCAAGGAAATAATAATAAATAAAATTATCGTAATAAAAAGTTGCAACTTAATTTATAAGTCACAGACACTAATTCTTAATATGCACTATTGCAAATCGTGCAACTCCATATGAAACGTAATACGTACGAAATGGCTACATTAACCATCATTGCCAAAGTAACGTGTACTTTAGTAAAAAATATACATTGAAAATTCAGTTCCTTATCATTTCATCTTTAGGAAAGATATTCATAGGAACATCCCTGTTGGTATTAGAGCAACCGTGAACACAACAGTAAAACACCATTGTAGCAATTTTGTACGAAAAAGCTGCTGTAACAAAAATTATTACCATTTACTGCAGTACCGACAAATGCAAAAGAAAGAAGAAACGTAAAAGAGTTAAGGAAATAGCAAACCGATATTTACAATCAATCCCACTAACCCCGTTCCTTCGTAAGCGATAATAATAAAAATTACAATTTCGACCCAAACTTGTAACAATAAAATCCCAGCAAAAATAAATTTATTAGGTATTTCAAATTTAATTTTAATAATAATTAATAATAAAGTTTGAGCTCGAACGATTTAATGTCAGGTTTATCTACGTGTGAAGTAAAGAGAAAGCACATGTGTTACAGAACTAAATTGCGACTAAAAAAGGAATTCGATATTATAAGTGAACAACAGACTACTGTGACTGATCGTATACTAAATTTCGATCACAAGAAATGGACAGTTAACTTATCTAATATTAAACTTCCACCGAGAGTTAAAAAGTTTCTTAGTTTTGGTCCGAATTTTGGCATTCCATACGACGCCCATACTTTTCCAGTTGAAGATATTGTCTGTGATGTTGAAAACAAGATTAAAAACATAGAAACCAAACATCACAACAAACTACGTTCTGACATAACTAACATCATAAAAAAATAGATTTAATTACAAACAATCACAAGAAGATAAACTTATATTACAACTTTTCAATTCAACTGGAGTTTTCTTAAAGAAACAGAAAGCTACTATTTTCATTACAAGAGCGGACAAGGGCAACGTCACAGTTGTTATGAATCGAACCGACTATATTGGTAAAGCGATGAACATGCTCGCTGATAAAGACAACTATGAACGTTGTAAAAAGGATCAAACCACAACGTTCCAAAATAAATTCAACAAACTTTTCAGATCTTGGTTTAAAAACAATTACATAGATGAGTCACAGAAAAAGGCGCTGATCTGTGAAACAGGAACTGTACCTAAGTTCTACGCTCTACCAAAAATACATAAAAAAGACAATCCGCTTCGGCCAATCATCTCTGCTGTGACTAGTCCTAGTACAGTCTTTCTAAATATTTTTACAAAGTTTTGAGCAACGTCACTGGCAAAAAAACAAGTCACATTGAAAACAGTATTGACTTCATTGAAAAAATCAAAAACCTCACAATTCCCACTGATTATAAACTAATATCTTTTGATGTCACCACTTTTTTCACTAATTGTAGTAGTAGTAGTAGTAGTAGTAGTAGTAGTAATATATTTCAACATAAAGTTATTTACACAATACATACAATTCTTATCAAACTAAGCCTTCATTCATACACAACAATTACAAAAGAAAGTTAACTTAACTTAAATAATAAGAAAAAAAAAGTAATCGAATCTTACTTATCGTATCACATACGTATATACATACACACATACACTGAAAACCCTTTCTTTTTTTAATTAAGTAGAATCAGACCGTCGCCACTCCTGCTTAATATCTCCTTACATGCATCTAAATCTTTACTTTCCTCACATCTTCCTAGTACATGCATCATTGTTTCATCTCCCCTTTCACATATCCTACATATCATTTCTTCCTCTTTCATTCAATATTTACATTTTCTACATTCATTTCCTACTCTAAACCTTGCAAATACATCCACATCCTTCATTATATTCAAATAGTCTGGCAAAAGGTCTCCC